ATGAGTACATTTCTTATCAAGCATTGTTGCCTCCTCCTTTGATTTTCCCCTACCATCCCTTCTCTGTGGTATTCAACAGTAATGAAGACATAAAATACTTAAAGATCAGGTTGTCAGGTAACATGATCTTTGTACAGGTTTGCTACCAAGCTGTAATGAGGCAAGGAAGAAAATGTGTAAGACAGAAGAGGTAATGAAGTAGGGGAGGGGCACTGACGATCCCAAATTGTTTTGTGTCGGGCACTCATGGCTCACTCCTGTAATCCTAGCTACTGAGGAGGCTGAGATCTGAGGATCATAGTTCAAAGCCAGTCCAGGCAGGAAAAGCTATGAAACTCTTATCTCCAATAAACCACCAGAAAACAGGAAGTGGTGCTGTGGCTCAAGTGGTAGAGCACTAGCCTTGAGCTGAAGAGCTGAAGGACAGCGCTCAGGCCCAGAGTTCAAGTCCCATGACCGACAAAAAAAATTGTTTTGTAAATCTTATTGGAATTGGGGCGGGGGGGGTTCTACATAATAAAGTCTATCTAAGAAAATAAGTAGGAGGATTGACAAGTCTAGTGCTTACCTGAAAAATGTAGTTGTAATGTATGGAATGCTTTGAACAATACACAGATCAATCAATAACAGAAGTAGATAAACCTGAAAGGCCTTGTGATAAACCAGCACAAGATGTCTGAGAGAGGGGAAAGCAGAGACAGAAGAGAGATGAAATAGTAGACTTGATTAGATATGTAGGAGATAATCAATTGATATTTTCAGTTCCTTTTATGTTAGGAGACATTTGAGGGAAATGAAAAGATTACATTTCAAAAATTTTCCCATTGTAAACACTAGAAGTCATTAAGCTAAGACTAGGCAAGATATAAAATTTAATCTTCAGTGATTGAAAGGAAAAGACAGCATAGAAAAAAGCAGAGGTTGGCCAAAAAGAACCCACCAGAGGAGTTTGCCTATGTTCTTCAAACATAAGCAATGTCTGGGTTTATTCCCTCAGTTTGCCAAGATCCATAGTGGGACCGAAAGTGATTTCCTTCCTGCTGTGGTAGTCATGGAATCAAACTGCTAGGTCATTTCTGGATCTGACTGGTTTCAGTTCTCAGAGGGCTCTTGCTAGGGCCCATTGAGCTAGTGGACATGGGAATATTTTGAAACTTGAAAGGACCCTTCACAGGTTCGCAAATAGATCATTGCAGTCCCACCTTGGGAGATGAAGGTGGTGCTTAGTCTTGTGGTCTTAGTTGTAACATGCAGTGAACAGATATGAAAGGAAGGAACACTGGCACCAGAGCTGCTGTCTGCCTGGCAGCCCAGCTGCTGAGAGGATCCGTGATAATCTCACATAAGGGTCTGGCTCCTGAAGGAGATTCACAAAAGTCAGCTACAACACTGGACATGGCAGCATCCTTCCAACGCACGCATTTCTAAACTGGCCTCTCTCACTGTCTTTGACTTTAGTCATTAAAGAAGAAACTAATCACAGTGAGATGGCAGAAGACCTGTGCAAGATAGGATCAGAGAGATCCCTCGTGCTGGACAGACTAGCAAGTAACGTCGCCAAACGTAAGAGCTCTATGCCTCAGAAATTTCTTGGTAAGAGTTAAACGTTTGCTGTCTCCTAACAAACAACTCTATGTGGGTGTTTTAAGAGTCAAGTGGAATTAAGTTGAGGGTAGAAGAAAGGAAAATCCTTCCATTTCAAGACGAACCTCCCACTTTTGTTTTCTTAGATGTGATTTTGGTGATATCCTTTAAGGGTACCCTGGACTGAGAGCTAGGGGGTCCTGAACAGCAGGATACTCTGTGCCTCCCGCCCTCTCTAAGTTCCAGATCGCTATTTTGTACAAGAAACCCGTAACACTCCCCTAATTGAGACTGTGAGCACTCACAGGAAAAATCACATAGTACCTGGCCCTGGGAATGGCTCAGTGAACACCCAGCCAAGATTGCTGTTTTCACCATTGAATCCTTACTTATTCAGCTTCCTTGAGAAGCCAGTACCTCATATAATAATACACAAGGCTCCCAGAGCAGGCTCTGGAAGGCAAGGGAAGATCAAAGCATAGGCCACTGTGGACATAAAGTGACCTCAAGGACGTGAGACCATGTTAAAGCCCTCCATGTGGCATTCCGCTATTATTATCAGGAACCAAAGGACCATGTCCAGGAAAGAGATCAGTAAGGGCTTTGCAGAGCTGAGACGGATCTTGGGAAAGCAATAGGATTTCAGCATATTGTGGTTATTTGAAGACTCAAAGAGGATTCTAGATAGAAAAGAAAGGAGAAACATCAATGCTAGTGGTAGGTTTTGGAATAGAGAAAATGGGACATGATGGAGGAGCAGATATGTTCCAGATTAGCTCAAATACCCACCAGGAAATAAGGGAATTGAAGGTATCCCAGGTTTTAGTTCTGGCTATGAGACTAATGGCCTTCAACAGCCAACATGGGAGAAGGAGCCTCATTCAGAAGGAACAGAAAAAGTGTGGGCATATTTTTGATGGGAACAGCAGCTTGGAACGTAGAGATAGCACAGGCCAAAAACTGATTGGAAAGCAGAAGTTGAAGCAATGACGGCTGCAGTGGAGAGAGGAGGGGGAGGCTTGGTGAAAGAGGAAAGGAGGGTGAGGACCGAGTGGGTAGATGGAGTCAGATACCATTTGGAGGAAGGAGGAAGCGAATGAAGTTCTGGAAAGTGATAAGAGTTTAATACAAGTTTGACTGCCTGCTGTAGATAGCCCAATGCTGGGAGAGAGCTTGGAAACTGGAAAAATATTCACTACAGCCTGGAGCCTCGGGAAAGTGGCTTCAGGAAAGGGAATCAAAGTGCTTGGGTGCCATCTTCCTTCAAATAGGACTCCATTTTGATCTATTGATTCAATAGATTGGGGAGTGAAGGATGCAGACAGAGGAAGGGTACCATTAGAGCATGGAAAAGGATGAGTTGGGTGTGTGGATTTGTCTATGCAACTGTGAGCTTGGTAACTGCAGATAAGGGAGGCCTTTGGTTTCCTGAGCAGAGTAGGAAGGGAGTCCTGATCTGACACTCAGCTGTTGGGGTAGCTGGGGATATCAGGTGGACTCAGACACAACTCCCCACCCTAGCTGTGCTCAGAAGCCCATTGAGAATGGGAGTTGTGACAGAGGGATTGACAGGACACCCGAGGAAAGAGCAGAGATGAAGCAGCAAGTGTGTCCAAGGGTTGTGAAGAGTTATTGACCCCAGGAAGGAGGGTGTGACTTCCTCTTTCAGAATGGAAGCCTGAGGAATTCCAAGTGAACAACGGTAGCCCCTTTCACATCTAGAGGCATTAAAGACACTGTAATGTCTATGAAAACACTGTTATCACCTCCGTCACAAGTTGGGCCTTGTCTGGAATTAGAGGTTTCTGTGTTCGAAGGAACAAGAAAACCAAACCATTTACTCTAGTGGAGCAAGCTAAGATGAGAAACTGGTCTCCAGGGGAGAGGTTAAAGTCAGGAGGAAGTGGATTATGGGAACAGGAGGACCAGGAGAGCAGAAGTGGAGTGTGGAAGGAAGGGCTTGCAGCAGCTGTGTGGGGTTGGTGATTTCCCCAGGAGCTGATGATTGGCAGTTCATGCCTAGCCCACTTCCTCCCTTAACTTCACTGCAGCCTGATGGCATTTCTATCAGCCATCCCTACCATGTCATCATTTCTCCATTTCTAAAATAATAATAAATGGATCCCAGAGACCTTTCTTCTTCTCAAGGATGCTGCATTTCTCTCCAAATCAAAACAGAGAGAGAATATAGGAGTTCCAGCTACTGTTACATCTGCTGGTCCAGTATGGTGGAATTGAAAGAGAACCAGGATTCAGGATCTAGCCCCAGCAGTGACTAACTGGTGACTTTAAGCCAGTCTTGGGTGGCAGTAGACTCAGTGTTTCCATCTCTGAGATGGACATGGGTTAGATGCTCTGCTTCCCTCCCAGAGGTATTCGGAAGAGTAGAATGGAAAAATGGATGTGGCAGAGTATTTCACACTAGAAAGCACTTTACAGATGGTAGGCCATATTGTTTTTTATACTGAATATTGCTCAGAGTGGCATATATTTCCACTTTATTGGTAAGTGAGCTGTGATTCAGATTTGTACATTTGAGCTGTGGCCTGAGTGCAGATAGTATTTGCTTTGTCGGCAATATTCCTTGCCATTCTAACATCAAAGATCTCACCCTCTGAAAAAGTCAGAACAGGCTGATGGGACCACTGAACCCAATAGGAAAGGCTGATAATAAATAGTAGTGCTAATAACAGTCTGGCTGGTTAGGATAAGTAAAAAAAATAAATTTAAAGAGAAAATTAATAATTGTTCCAGGTACCTATTGTAATTACCCTAGTATATTTTCTTCTTAAAAAGAAAAAGTAAAGCCAATGATGGTGGCTCACACCTGTAATCTTAACTACTCAGGAGGCTGAGATCTAAGGATCATAGTTCAAAGTCAGCCAGGGCAAGAAAGTCTGTAAGACTCTTCTCTCCAATAAGAAGTGGAACTGTGGCTCAAATAGTATAGTACTAACCTTGAGCAAAAGAAGCTCAGGGACAGCATCCAGGCCCTGAGTTCAAGCCCCCCAGAATTAAGACAAAAAAATAAAATAAAAAGCTTTAGGACTAGCCGGGCGCTGGTGGCTCACACCTGTAATCCTAGCTATTCAGGAGGCTGAGATCTGAGGATCGCGGTTCAAAGCCAGCCCGGGCAGGAGAGACCGTAAGACTCCTATCTCCAATAAACCACCAGAAAACCGGAAGTGGCGCTGTAGCTCAAGTGGTAGAGCGCTCGCCTGAGCTGAAGAGCTGAGGGACAGCGCCCAGGCCCAGAGTTCAAGCCCCACGACCGACAAAAAAAAAAAAAAAAGCTTTAGGACTGTGCTCAGACCCTCAGTTCAGGACCCAAGACTGGCACCAGAACAAAAAAAGAAGAATTAAAGAAAAATTACTTTAGAAATAAAAATATTCGTTATGAAGAAAACATTAAGAGCTTTGAATCATTCTTATTCAGTTAGATTATTATATTTTACATTGTCCTGCTTCAAAATATTCAGTTTTGTACTCATTTTCTTCGGAGTGTAGTTACTTATTACTAACTGTATTTAAATAGATTCCAGAATCTGACTTAAACCTTTTATCACTATTCCTGTTTATCATGATTAACGTCTTCACCGAATAGACTTTAGCTCGGCTTGATTACTTGGCTGGTGCTCTACAACCTGACCCATGCCTCCAGCCCTGCGTTTTCCTGGTTAATTGGAGATAGAGTCTAGTGCACTTTTCTGCCCCAGGTGGTTTTGACTTAAGATCCTCCAGAGCTCAACCTCCTGGATAGGTAGGAGCCACCTGTACTTGTTTAAGCACCTTTATGAATGAGGTGCTACAGGTGTTCCATTGTCACCATTGATCTGAACCTTTGAACCTGAAGAAAAACTGGCAGAGGGCATATTCGTGAGCATCACTCTCCTGAGAATTCTAATTCTTGCCTCATACTGCCTCACGGTGATGCTTCTTAAACTGTGCTGTGGACATGTTTAAGTCTAGTCCATTTTATTTTCTTTAAGATGACTTCTGTTTTCTTCTGGCTGTCATTCCTGGGGCTTGAACTCAGGGCCTGGGCACTGCCTCTGAGCTTTTTTGATTGAGGTTAGTATTCTACCATTGAGCCACAGCTCCACTTCCAGCTTTTTTTTTTTTTTTTTTTGCCAGTTGTAGGGCTTGAATTCAGGGCTTGGGCACTGTCAGTGAGCTTCTTTTGCTCAAGGATAGCGCTCTACCACTTGAGCCACAGCAGTACTTCTGGCTTTTTCTGTTTATGTGGTACTGAGGAATAGAACTCAGGGCTTCATGCATGCAAGGCAAGCACTCTACCACTAAGGCACATGCCCAGCCCAGCTTTTTTGGTAGTTAATTGGAGATAATAGTTTCCTAGACTTTCCTTCCTGGCCTGGCTTTGAGCCTCCATCCTCAGATCTCAGCTCCTAAGTAACTAGGATCACAGGCATGAGCCACTGACACCTGGCTGCAAATTTCTTTCTTAATCCCTAGTCACTTACCTAGGTTGGATGTGTCTTGGTGTTTTACCTTCTAAATTAAAAAAATTGTTCTATGATTTTAATGTGGAAATTCTGTTTTATTCTCTCTGCTTCTGGAAAATTTTTCTTTTACATAAATATTACATTTGTTCTGTATATTGTGATCTTTTTAAAAGGGTACAAAGTTGTACATACCCTAAAAAATTGTCTTCCCTATCTGTTAGCTTTTTGTAAGTTTTTATTTCTCTCTCTTTTTTACTTTTATTCGCTGTCACATCTTGTGTTTGCTTTCCTTGTAGTAATTCCATTTTTAGTAGTTTTTATCCTATTATTTGCTGTTTCTAAATTCACATAGTAATTAAGTAATCATATTGTTTTGGATTTCACTACATTTCCTGAAATGTGAAATCCTTTTTTCCTTCCCTTCTTTTGTTTTGGAATGTTATCTTTGAATATTTTTAAAATCAACTCCATGTCATGGAGTGCACTTATGAGACATTTTCTCTCTCCCTTGACTTAAGGTTATTTTCCCTAACATGGTTTTATGCATTTGTTTTACAACCTTTCTTCCTTTGTATTGCTCAAAAACATTTTCACAGCAACCATGACTTTTTTTTTCATCCTGCTTATTCCACTTGGTCTGATATAGCTTGATTGACATTTCAACGTTCTTCCTACTATATCTGAAACATTTATTTTCCTGTGAGATCTAGCGACTTTTTTAAATCCTGAAAGAATGCCAAGGATGGAGCTGGGGGAGTTCAGGTGAGGCAAACTGCTGCTTTTGTTAAAAGACTTTCCTTTGCTCGCTTGCTCTCTCCCTTCTCTTCAGATCTAGTGAAATGTCCCCAACCAGCAGTTCTATAATGCCTTCCATACTGCAGGGGACACGGGTAAGGAGACCACTCCTTCAGTGGATACCATCTAAGCCTTCCTTCTGTCCAGGGGAGCCAGCCTCTCTGGTAACCTCTCCACTGTTCTCTGATTCGTGCTAGCAGAGCTCTTTGATCAGAGAAGGAAGAAGAGCAATTCAAATCTATTTCAATTTTTATTTCTCTATCATTCTGAGGATATGGGTATATGTGGAAAATGTTATTGACCCATTCCTAAGACTTCTGAGAGTGACCCATACCCAGGCTCTGTCCTGTAATGCATGCTAAAATTTTCTGTTCTTTTCTTAGTTATGGATAAATTGGCTGGATGGCTGGCTGGATGGTGGCTGGCTGGATGGATGGATGGATGGATGGATGGATGGATGGATTTCATTATGATGTGCTCCTTTCCTTAGCTGATTTCTGATGTGTGGTATTGCTTTTATTTTTCTCATGTTGATGGATATTAGGGAAGAGGAATTCTATGAGTCCATTCAGTATGGCATGCTAATCTGAAATGTATGTCAGTTGTAGGGCTTGAACTCTGGGCCTGGGCACTGTCCCTCAGCTCTTCAGCTCAAGGTGAGTGCTCTACCATTTGAGCCACAGCACCACTTCTGGTTTTCTGGTGCTTAAGTGGAGATAACAGTCTTACGGACTTTCCTGTCCAGGCTGCCTTTGAACCACAATCTTCAGATGTCAGCCTCCTGAGTAGCTAGGATTACAAGCGTGAGCCACTGGTGCCTAGCTTTTGCTGTGGTTTTGGAGAACTGTACAAACCAGATTAAATTCCTTTTGTTTGAAGTTCTCATAACAAGACATTTGGTACCTCAATGCAAAATCAATTTTTAAAAACCCGTGTAGTTTCAGGAATGCTGTGAAATTACTTCTATTTTTGTTTCATTTTGTGTCAATACTGGGGCTTGAACTCTAGGCCTTGCTGTCTCCCTTAGCTTTGTCATTCAAGGCTGGTACTTTACCACTTGAGCCACACCTCCACTTCTGGCTTTTTATTGGTTAATTGCAGGTACAATTCTCTTAGATTTGTCTTCCCTATGCTGGCTTTGAACCACATTCGTCAGATCTCAGCCTCCTGAGTAGCTAGGATTACAGGCATGAGCCACTGGTCCTGAACATGTTGGCCTTCTGTAGACTAAGGATTACATTGTACCATTATTAGGACACGTTGCACTTGCTAATCATCAGTGGATGAAAACGAGTGACACTAAGCTATTAAATTAAGACTAAGAGACAGCGCAAAGACACATCACAGTATGGTGAGGCTTTCATCTCTGGAGACTCAATAATAGTTGCAGATTTTTTTTGTTTTATACTGGTATTGGGGCTTGAACTCAGGGCCTAACATTCTCACTTGGTTTTCTCACAAGAGCTAGTGTTCTGCTACTTGAGCCGTACCCCAAGTTCCAGCTTTTTGCTGACTAATTGAACATAAGATTCTGGTGGATTTGTCTGCCTGGGATAGCTTTGAACGTTAATCTTCCTATCTCAGCCTCTTGATCAGCCAGGGTTATAGACATGAGCCACCAGCACCCAGCCTGATTGCAGATTCATGAGACTATTATTAGGTTTATTAGCTGTGGAGCATCTTGCCTTTCTTTTAATAAGGCAAAGCTGAGGATCTCACTGTCAGCAAGAGAGGCATTGGGATTTTCTTTTCTTTTCTTTTTTTAATACTGTTTCCTGCATGGTTTACCTCCCCAGTCACTCTCCACAGGACTCTGGGAAGCACTGGGCTATACACCTCCAGCCACAGCCCAGACTCAGAACGATGAAGTGTAAACAGCCCAGACATTCCCCCACTGGCTCCTCTGTTCTGACTTATTTAGGTCTATCGGAAAATACAAGTCACTGGTCCTGTCACTGAGAGTTCAAACAATTGCTTTAAATAATGAATTCACTAAATAAGTAATGATTTTATACTAGACTTAACCACCAGTGCATTGAAGAGGTATATCTTTAAGGAAATTTATTTCACTTCCTTGCTGAAAGGTCTATTCCAAAGCTAATTATATGAAGTTAGCTATCATTTCCAATTTCACCCTTACTGAGAAAGGAGCCTCTGTTAGTCACTTGGTCGGCTTTTCACCACTATAACACAGTTTCATCAGTGATCTACTTATAGAGACAAAAGGTTCATTTGGGCTCACTGTTTTGGAGGTTTCTGTCCATGAGCAGTTTGGCCCTGTTATTTTTGGGCCGGTGGCAAGGCAGCACATCATAGAGAGTCCACATGGCAAAGCATAATCACTCATTTCCTGGCTGGGGAGCTGAAGAGAGAGAGAGGAGGGCCCAGAGCCTTCCTGTCCCCTCTGAGAGTACTCTGTGAAAGACCTTCCCTTCAGGCCCCTCCTGCCAAAGGTTTCAACATCATCTAGATCTACTGTAGCAGAATTCATCTACTTCTATACATCACTCGTAGAAAAGCATAAGTTGGTTTCTTTTCCTCTTTTCTTCCTTTTTATTTTAATTTTTTTAGTAAGGTCTCATCTCATTTTTTGTCCAGACTACTCTGGACTTCGATTCTCCAATGTACTCTTCTTGAATAGCTCAAATGCTAAGCATACACCACCAAATCCAGCTTTGGTTGTTTTTTGTTGTTTTATTATTATTATTATTGGTTGATATGAGGAGCCCATGTGTGAGCCCATGCTTGTCTAGAGACTAAGTTTCTTGAGGCCAAGGCCCAAACCACTGAATTCCCAGCCACAGTTCCCTATTCATCTTTAATGCCTGATATATTTTTAAAGAATAAATTAATGATATACCCTTTTCCTCCTGCACAGCCTCCTCAGTTTCCTTCCTACTTTATGCCATGTTTCCACTGAGTAGGTCTCCTTGTTCTAACCATGGAGGAGAGAGAATTACAGAATTATATTTAAGTATCCTTCTCACTTAATCTTTGTGCTAATTATATGAAACATGTAATGTTATTACAAGTAACATAGAGTCATTGTATATTGCAATTACATATTAACTAATTACTGAAGTTGTAAATTGAATACTATGTCACATAACAATATTTAAATATATTGTATATGTTATGAACAAAGCATAATTATGTATGCTAATTGATGATAAGCAAGTAGTTTTAAATTAGTTACAACATAATTGAAGGCAAATCATTTGAAATACTAATAATAAATACTAATAATAAATTAATTGTATGTTCAGAACCAGCTGTCAGTGGCTGACACCTGCCATCCTAGTTACACAGGAAGCTGGGATCTGAAGATCCTGACTCAAAGTCAGCCCCAACAGAAAAATCCACAAGACTATGGCTCAAGTGGTAGAGTTCCAGTCTTGAGCAAAAAAGCCAAGGAGAACCTGAGGTCCTGAGTTCAACCCCAGTACTGGCACACACACACACACACACAAAATTAAATTTTACCACACTTAATAAAAGACATGAGCCAAGTACCAGTGACTCAGCCTTGTAATTCCAGCTATTCAGAAGGCTGTGATTTTAGTTCAAGGCCAACCTGCAGAGAAAAATCCATGAGACATTATCTCCAAAATAATTAGCAAAAAGCAAAGATAGAGGCATGGTTCAAGTGGTTAGAGCTCCAGCTGAGCAAGCTCAGGGCCCTGAGTTCAAACCCCTAGTATCAGCAACATAGAAGTGAAAATATAATTATAGATAATTTTAAAACAAAAGTTTTTTTTTAAAGAAACACAAGTGCTGGTTTAGCCTGATAATATGTGTAACCCGTCTGTATATCATCTTGACAATAAATTTTTTTTAAAAGACACCAAAAAATATACGTGCCCAGTTTGTCAGCCAGGCACCAGTGGCTCATGCCTGTATCCTACCTACTCAGGAGGCTGAAAGCTGAGGATCACACTTCAAAGCCAACATGGGCAGGAAGTCCATGAGAATCTTTTTTTTTTAATGGATTTTTTTTTTTTGGTCTGGTTGTGGGGCCTGAACTCTGGGCCTGAGCACTGTCCCTCAGCTCTTCAGCTCAAGGCTAGCGCTCTACCACTTGAGCCACAGCGCCACTTCCGGCTTTTTTCTTTTTGCTTATGTGGTGTTGAGGAATCGAACCCAGGGCCTAAGGCATGCAAGGCAAGTGCTCTACCACTGAGCCAACTTCCCAGCCCCTGGATTTTTTTTTTTTAAGAATCCATGAGACTCTTATCCCCAATTAATTAGAGAAAAAACTGGAAGTGGAGCTGTGGCTCACGCAGTAGAGTGCCAGCCTTGAGCTCAGGGACAGCACCCAGACCCAGATTTCAAGCCCTAGGACTTGGGGGAGGGGGGTGAGGAGGGAATGTGCATGGTTTATATGGACAGGGACAGTCTTCTTTCCCTGCTCATTTATGGATTTATCCAACCAGATTTCCTTGAGTGCCAACATCACAAGACATCTGTTCTCAATGGCTCCACCAGACAGAGATTTCTCCAGTTCTTCCTGGTGTGCATGGACCAGTGCCTCATGTCTACCTGGGCACTGACACTCCCTGGCTAGGTGACCCCTTCCTTCCCCCTTTCCCAGGCATAGGTTTTACTCATAACCACCTGCTTCCCACAGGGGACAAGTGCCTGTCCGACATGGCCTACGACAGCAGTGCCAGCTACGAGAAGGAGAATGAGATGATGACTTCCCATGTCATGGACCAGGCCATCAACAACGCCATCAACTACCTGGGGGCCGAGTCCTTGCGTCCCCTTGTGCAGACACCCCCGGGTGGCTCAGAAGGGGTCCCAGTCATCAGTCCTATGTACCAGCTGCACAAGACCCCGACAGAGGGGCCCCCGCGGGCCAACCACTCTGCACAGGACAGCGCGGTGGAGAACTTGCTGCTGCTGTCCAAGGCCAAGTCGGCGTCCTCGGAGCGGGAGGCCTCCCCCAGCAACAGCTGCCAAGACTCGACGGACACGGAGAGCAACACGGAGGAGCAGCAGCGCGGGGGTCTCATCTACCTGACCAACCACATCGCTCCGCTGGCCCGCAATGGCCTGGCGCTCAAGGAGGAGCAGCGCGCCTTCGAGGTGCTGCGCAGCGCCTCGGAGAACTCGCAGGACGCCTTGCGCGTGGTGAGCATGAGCGGCGAGCAGATGAAGGTGTACAAGTGTGAACACTGCAGAGTGCTCTTCCTCGACCACGTCATGTACACCATCCACATGGGTTGCCACGGCTTCCGGGATCCCTTCGAGTGCAACATGTGCGGGTACCACAGCCAGGACAGGTACGAGTTCTCCTCCCATATCACGCGGGGGGAGCACCGCTTCCACATGAGCTAAAGATCCCCACATACCCTGGACCCCTCCTCCCGTGCGTGGGCACAAGCACACACACACACACACAACACACACACAACCCTGAAGAGCCTGCTTCATCTGGACCATGGATAATGTGGAGTGTGGACTATGGGGTGTGGTGTGGATTATGTGGCTAATGTGGAGTATGGATTCTGGGGTGGGTTCCTGGGGTGTGGTGGTCATTGTCACCAGGCTGGTTGGGTTTCATTTGCTTTTGCAAACCAGATTTCCTTTGGTAGAGGCAAAATGGCTCCCGGAGCCTAGAAAAACTTCCATCTCCCTACGATTCCATAGACTTGTTAAGATGCACTTCCTCCCCTCCCCCACTACACACCACTCCGTACAGAACCTGAACTGATTAAATGAAACAAGTCAGATCCTGCCAAGCAGGGTTGTGTAGTAAGCACAAAGTTCATGCACATACCAGGAGCTCCCCAGGTCCCCACAGCTAGAGAGCACTGCCTCTGAAGTACTGCCATCTCTAAAGCTTAACAGGTGAGCAATAGGAACAGGTATATGGCTGCTAGGGAGAAGCAGGGACAGAAAGTATACAGAAGCCACAATTCCAGGCCACTCAAAGCCAGAGAAGAATGGCTACAATCTGAACCCAGGTAACATTAGGTCATCCTTCTCTAAGGAAAATAGAACTGCCCTAGGCAAGAGAGGGGGCAAAAGATTGCAGAGCCCCCGAGACTCTGCCTTGCTTTCTAAGCTTGGTGAGTTTGCCCAGGAGACACGCAGCCTTCCTAAACTGGTTGCAAGTCCAGTGTTCCTGGGTACAAATGTAAAGAGTCCTGTTCTCTGCTTTGTCACCCCTATGCCCGTAAGGGTCCCTATCTCCATTTTCAACCACAGTCCCAATATTTAGACCTTAATTTGAACCTCTCAAGGAGTAAAATTCCTCAGAAAATCAAGCTTTCTTCCAAATTCTGTACTGTCTTATCTGGGTGTTTATTCTTTCCCCGAGGCTGGTTCTACCTAAAGCCATGACCTTTTACCCTGTCAAAGGCCTAAGTACAATCTCAGTGCTTCATTTTAATTCAGACCATGTCCTATTTGTAGCTGCAAGTCTGGATTCGGCTGTATTTATAAAGTTCTTTCTCTATCCACATCTACATAATTTTTTTGTGTGTATGCCAGTACTGGGTCTTGAACTCAGAACCTGGGCACTCAGGATTGGTGCTCTACCACTTGAGTCACAGCTCTAAATCCAGATTTTTGGTGGTTAATAAGAGATAAGAGTCTCACTGCCTCCCTGCCTGTGTTGCTGGCTTCAAGTCATGATCTTCCAATCTCAGTCATCTGAAGTAGAGTTAAAATCTTGAGCCACTAGCAACTATTATTCTTTCTCTCTCTCTCTCTCTCTCTCTCTCACACACACACACACACACACACGAATGATTTTAAAGTGAATACTCGTTGTTAGATCAAGCAAATATATAAGTCTGGCATCTAAGTTTCTAATACATGGAGCTCACCAGTTCAAAACTAAATTAACTATTCTACAGTTGTACACCATGAAAACAATGTAGCATTGTGCTCATACATAAATAGGACATTTGGCCATGAACCCTTCATCCCTGAGAGAAATACCTACCAGACCTGATAGGCAAGAGGCAGAAAATACTAAAGGTAAGACTCTAACCCATGTGTGCTAAAAAATGGTTGCATCCCTAAGCCCACTCCAGGTGGGTGGGGATTCTTATCTCATCCAGAAAGGATCTCCTTCAAGATTAATCCTGTCATCATTGCCATTATGCAACAAGCATTACTTGTTGGAGAGAGAGAGAGAATATTAAATATCTATAATATTGGTCTGTACCAAAACTGTCCCAATGTGAACCTGAAGAAATAGCAGGTACTTTCTGCAAGTCACTCAGTGTTTCAGGTGACACAAGGATTCTTGGTCTCCAACACGTTGATGTATGGGGCTAGATAATCCCCCGTTGTGGGCCCTTCCCTGCTATTGGTGGATGTCTGGTATCATCCTTGATCACAACCCAGTAGATGTCAGTATCTTTCCCTGTTGAAATCCAAAAAGTAGCTCCTGGTGTTGACAAATATCCCATGGGGGCAAAGTCCCTCCCACCTGAGAACCACAGATCTAAATGAATTCTAAGCTAATAGAAAGTGTGAGAAGCCTTCCCAGGTTCAGAAGCACATGAAGATTTATCCAAGTCAGATTATAAATTCTCTAAATGTATAAATAACACCCCTCCAGTCATTGACAAATATACTTTCCCATGCACAATAGAGTTCACAAAGACATCATTCTTGAGTCACAGATCTCTTTTCTTCCAGAACAGTGTGGCATTTTGAAACTAGAAATAAAAGTGTAATGGTAGTAATTCAAGCTCAGCCCTGCCAAGGTCCTGAATGATGAAAAACAAGGGAAACCTAGGGCCATGGACAACTTTTCTTCAATATGCAATTACACGGACAGATGCGCCTTACCCAAATTTATATACTCAACATGAGAGACTTCTTTGATTTCTGGTTTGCTATAGGTTTCACCTACCCTCATTCTTATCCATGCATTCCACCCAATCAACAGGAAGAAGGGAATTTACCTCCTCTTCAGCAGCATTCAAAGCTTAAAGCAGAACTGTAAATATTGGCTACAGGACTTGTTTTCTAAAATGCTTTGCCCTTTTCCTCTCACTGCCTTTTATAGCCAATCTAAATGTCTATTTGCACACCTTTTGTTGTGGTTTTATATTGTAACAGCATTTTTGAAACTATTGTATTTAAAGTAAGGATTCATATTATGTCAACGAGTAATTAAATTATGTTTGAAAGGTGGCCAGATGCTGTACCAAAAGTTGCTGAAGTTTTTCTTCTACCTGGTAAAAGTAGGATTTTGCATGACCTCACACATTTTGTTCTATGGTTTGTTCTATGGTTGTATGATGGTGTGAGTGTGTGTGTGTATGTAGAACATCACTGTGCTAGATTTCAGGGAAGTGTGCCTAGATTCCACTCATGGTGGATTCACTCTCATTGTGTTTTATGTAAATACCAGAGGCAGGAAAGCTGCCACAAGCAAGTCAACCAGTTGTTAACAGCTTGTGATTGCTCTCTTTCATTCTCCTTCCTCCTGATCAGCCCAGCTTCAGGTGGAATGTGGAGCCTCTGCTTCCTGCCCAGGTCCCTTTTGTAATTTGTACCTTAGGTGGTGTGTTTCCCCTAATGAGAGAATACCAAAGTATCATTGTATAATCACCAACAGCCTGGCCCAACACCAATTTCTTCAAACCCTGGCATGTTCCATTTCCAATTTAGAATCAATTATGTAATAAAAATCTTAGCATCTTTATTGAGAAAGAGAATGGCCACTTATGGAGAAGAAGGTTTGTTTTATGTAGCTTTCTCCCCCTCCCTCTGTTCTTGTGCTCTTTTTTCCTTCTTTCTCTTTGTTCTTGCAGTCACCTCTTCTTGCCAAAACAAAAGCAAAAATGGATTTGACTTACATGGACACTTTATGAGGCATTTATGTATTCCTCTATTCTTTAGTTAACAAGTGATAATGAAGAATCAACAATGTCAAACTTCTTTAAGAAATTTAATGAACAACTGAGAAGTTGCAGATGTCATTCGGTGATAGAGCACTTGCCTAGCATGTATAAATATTTGGCCTTCATCCCCAGTGCCACAAGAAAACAGAATGAAATACATAGGCATTTTGATAGCACAGCCCTCACTGTGAGCAAGTGTAACCAGATATTCATATGCAATATTGTTTCTACTTCCTAATATACCTTCTTTTATCATGCGTGTGGTGATTGTTGAGGTCAAACCTGCTTATGCCCAATACACTTCTAGGTCTATGTGCATCTTCTGGAAGGTCCATGCACAGGATTGCAAATGAGAACATGGAGCTTTGTCAGTTCCAGCTCTATGATGCTGTTATGTTGTCTGCTTAGCTGTGGACAGTGATCACAGGACAGATAGAGTATCCTTTGTGTACTCATTTGGCATGCTTTTTCTATGATGCTAGAACAAATAAATACAACAAATACTCTATCGACCCCATCCAGTGAAGTCCACACATAAGAGAAGGCCCAACCTTGCAGGAATCTTCTGTAGTTAACCGCCCCTCCTCTCCCCCACCCCAGTTAGACCACAGGGCTAGGGAGAAGAAACTGACAATAGCGATGAGATCTTATAGATAAGTGATGATTACAACAGACATGGCCCAGTTCATTGACCAGCTCCCATCGATAGCCATGCAGGCCTTAGGAAAGCCAAGTCAGTCTTGAGTTTGAATGGCAAGAGAAGAGGAGAGCAGGGAATGCATTCTCAAAGTGTAAGGTGAAGGCCATGGGAGCTCCAGACACTGGGAGATCAGAGAAACTGCACCTTCCTGGAGTCACCTGCAAACCCATTCTCCATGCCAGAGCAGGCCTGGGCCTTGAGGCTTATCCTTACTCTGCTGCAGAACCGCACTGATGTGACTGACCCCTGTGTAGTGAAAACCCTTGGTCCCTTTGCGATAAACAGCCAAACCTCATCTGAGTTCTAATCCTGAAAATAAAGTGAAGTGACTGTTTATGTTACAGCCAACGTAGTAAAAGTCCTGGGAACTACACACAGGGTGCTGGGCTCCACATCAGGCTCTGATAACAGTACCCAAGGAGAACTTGCCACACAAAAAAGAACTCTTTTACCCAGGCAACATCTGTCAGTTTCCAGCTTCCTTTGTTTCCAGCTTACTTTGCTTACTTAGTGGAAGTCCATGTTGCTCATATATGCATAGAAACAGCAATACAGCCACATGCAAATGTATGTCACCATGTTATCCCATACTTCTTATCATTGTAGTGGTCACAGGTCAGAAGAATAAAGAGTATCAACCATGTACTTTAAAATGGCCCGGGTTCAAATTAAAAGAGAGAAGTAATTCAAAAAAGGAGGAAGAGATGGTCACCCATGACTCATGCCTATAATCCTAGCTACTCAGGAGGCTGAGATCTGAGGATTATGGTTCACAGCCAACCTAGGCAGGAAAGTCTGTGAGTCTTATCTCCAATTAACTACTCTCCAAAAATCTGGAAGTGCAGCTATGACTCAAGTGGTAGAGCGCTAGCCTTGATCGCTCAGGGAAATCACCCAGGCTTTGAGTTCAAGCCCAGGACTGACACACACACAAAAAAAAGGTGCAGAAGAGAATTGGACAGAACAGGTGAGAATCTCTTCTGTGGGATATATTTTTAACAATGTTCAACAGCCTTGTAGCTTTTTCCTAAGAAAGCCAGATAAGTGGGGTTTGGAAGCACTCAGAAGGGGGCTGTAGGTAAGCCCATCTGGAGACCAGTGACAATGAAAGGAGAGGCTACAAAACACTCCACAGAACAATTGGCATCATTTCTGGTGGGTTTTTTTTTTTTTTACTCTTTTTACTTCTTATTTCAGCACTGAAACTTGGGCTTCCACTCAGGGATTCAAGCTTCTCCCTGAGCTTTTGCTCTCATAGCTGACACTCTAACACTTGAGCCATCCTCCACTTCTGGACTTTTGCTGGTTAATTGGAGATTTGTCCACCTTGGCTGGCTTTAAACCACGGTCATCAGATCTCAGCCTCCTGAATAGCCAGGATTCTGTGTCCCCAGCCACCAGCTGCCTCTTTTTTTATTTAAAGCGCTCCAAAGCATGATTGTGAATAGAACCTTTGACACCGTAGACCAAGTACATTCATTTACGTTCTTCTGGTCCAATGAGAATTCTGGAAACAGCAATCCCCTTTCCCTGAGGACTGATGTAAATTTAAACCTAGAGTTCTATTTTTCTGTGCTTTAACTACAAGCATTAGTATTTGCGAATTGAAAGCCAAAGAGCAGGATTAAGGACCCAAAGTCTCCAATCCCACTTGCATGAGTTTCTGTCACAGTTTCTATCAGAATCAAACACTGTGGAGGTTTTGTGACTCCCTGGTAAAAGTGCTTTGATTCTCAAAAAACAAAATCCCTGTGGCTATTTCTGAGAGTTGGATCTGTTTGTTATGACCTCTCAGCCGCATCAAAGAGCTAAGAGTGAAAGACCCTCAGAGAATTGAGCAGTTAGTGGAAGACTCCAAGAAAGTTCTCAGATGACCCGAGCCAGAACTCCACGTTCCTCCATCATTACGGAAACTTCTGAACCTTTCTCTGCACTGGAACCCTGAACAGCAAACAGATGGCCAAGTTCTAAGGTA